ATTGGATAATATAAGTCACAAGAAGTGAATGCATCTGCGCCAGCCAATGACAACGAGGATTTTGAGCCATATCACCAATTTACTGTCTCCAGCCTTAATTGGTGTTTACCGTCCAGAGGACCCCAACAAATCATGAAGTCTACACCTCCCAAAGTGTCGATGTAACTGCACAGCCACGTCGATTGATTCCTTTTCCCTCCTAATCAGAACTCGTCCGTTGCCTAACCTCAATATTACTCACCCTATTACACCTACCACCTAACACTGGAGATGGAACTCAGGCACCTATAATCAAAGACAGTCAGCTGGTCTTCTCATGTCTTCCACTCTCAATGGCCAGGTCTCACCAGTAGCCATATAAGAGGACGAAGCGGACTACTGAGCAGTACACCCGCCCTTTGGTCGATAGCCGGTCGGATATCATGTCTACTAAGCCAGAGATGGCGTAAATTGGTATACGCGGAACTAGGCCTCTGTATCCGTGCTGCGATTGCGTCGGCGATCAACCTGTTGGCGTTGGCTGATGGAATTTCCCAAATACGTGAAGCGGTCAACGTGCTCTACCACTTCACTCCCTATTTCTAAACTAGGAGACAGTGTAGTTAAGTCTTGTAACTTCATCTTCTTACATTTCACGGCGGGAGTGAATCGCATGCTAAACATTTGCAGATTGCAGCTCAAGATGTTCAGGAGACTCTGCTTTATTTTGTCAGCGCTTTCACTATATCATCCACATGCATATTCTAAGCCAAGGAGATTATTCCCTGGTAGATATTTTCTGATATTTCATATCATTCTGTGATAACAACTTCACTAGTGAAGTGCATGAGCAGTTTGATTTAATGGCTTTTTATTGGTACATGCATGTAAATCTTATCAAAAGCGAAGAAAAAGAATTCCTATGTCGAAGCTTTTAGACGTATGTACGACATATACTGCTATGCCACTCATTAACAAACATATGCACATATATGTGTTGATGAGCACTTAAAATTTGATCATTATCTTGGTTTTCTTATGACTTATTCTATTTTGAAAAAACTTGTTTGTTGCTGTTGAAAGATAAGCAGCAGCTAGTGTGATTTACGTTTTTCCTTTGTTGCATACTGTTATGTATGTGGTCTTTATTTCATATGGAATTTTAAGTCAGTGATTAAACGTATTAGATTTCATGGCAAGAGTAAACAATAGACTTTTTTTCTTTCCTTCACGTTCCCAGTGGAACATAGGGCTTCAAGCTAGTGGCTTGAAGTTTCTGTAGCAGTGTTTAGCTTGACAGGATGAGGTTGCTAGCCTTACGCTCAACCTTTCCTCTTTACCAGCATTTTTTCTGGCTTAGCGAGGTAAAGGAGTGCGTCTGTGGCTGGGGATCGAACCACAGACCATGTGCATGGTCGGCGACACCAGAATCAAATGACCTTGATTTGACCAATCAGATAGCTCAGCATTACAAATAGGTGCTAGTCATAATCCTCGTAGAAAGTGTCTCCTAGATTTGGTTTTTAACTTCTCTGTGTAAAATGTGTTAATAGGGAGGAATAAAACATGCATATGTGGAAGGATAATGACTCCGCGGAAGTATTGCCGGGCTATTGATGGTCATATGCACCACCATCTTTTATGGGAGAAGTCTCTATAAGCTGGTAAGTCGTACTTAATTGGTGATTCCTGTAAGCACTTTCTTCTCGAAATCAAGGCTCTCCCTAGTAATACATTGCGTATATGCAACCAGAATCTGCTACACCTGGAGAAATAGAGAATACATTCTTTTGATATGTCTACAACCACTTCTATGAGAATCTGGGACCAGTTTTTGCAGCCTGTTAGCTATATATCCCCTATATAATTCATTTTTATAACATATATATTGTAGTAACACTTCTTGGTAAATTAAGTACTACTTTTCACCTAGAAGAATCTGACTGGCCGTTTTCAAGGTCGTCTGAAGTTGGTGTCTATTCTTTACTGTTGCCGATTTCATTAGTGTTAGGTTTTCAGGGTCGAGATACATTGTACTTACCAATATTTAGACAGCTGATTAGTGTTATCACGCGAAAGTTCACAGCCTATCTCATATACTTGTATGTGACAAACGAATTGTATTAAGTTGTTATTATTTTATTTCAATGTTTTATTTTAGTCAACTTTCAAATTAGATGTGTAACGACGAATTGGTGTCACTGAAAATGTGAAAAGTCTCAACTGTAGGCATTTTTTGTGTTCAAGAAAGTCAATGCCATAACAATTATTGTTATGAGTAATTTTGCTGCTAACAACAAATACGTGAGTTTATTTTCAGTCACTTGTTAACCATCTCTTTGCATGGAATCCTCTCCTTTTTTGTGCTATACTATTACTATTGTCCCCAGACAATAGACTATAGTACTTTTATATTAATTTTTCTCAACTGTTTAAGGTTCAACAATGGCAAGGAAGCATTAGATAACATTGAATAAAAAAAACAACAAATATATTCCCAGGATAATACAAATGCGTTCTACTTCGAGGACTCTCTTCAACTGCTGCGTACACCCTGAATAAATCAATTATAAGTCACAAGAAGGTTTGAACATACTTTTATTACAGTGACGTCGAGTTATAGATAGAAAGTGTAAGCAAAATAGTTCCGAGAACGATGTTTAAACAGACAAATTATTCAGTCTTAAAAGACTAACTACTTATAGTACAGGATTTCATCATGAGCTGACATTAGTTAGAGAACCATTGGAAAACCTGGGAGTACTGGAAAGCTGTTTCACCCTAGTTTGGGACTCTTCGGCAGTACGCACCCGCCGGGTTCGAACCCGCGAGCTCGCCTTGAAACCAGAAGGTCCTGGGTTCGAACCCCAGTGGGTGCGTACTGATGAAGAGTCCCAAACTAGGGTGAAACAGCTGTCCAGTACTCCCAGGTTATCCAATGGTTCTCTAACTAATGTCAGCTCATGATGAAATCCTGTAACCAATCAAGCAAATCCCTACAAACCAACACTTGAATACTTATAGTACAGTTAGACAAGAGGTTGGTAGAGTCCCGATTTTGCTTGAAAACAAGGATGGACTAGGAATGAAATTCAGGATCGATCAACACAGTGAATTTATGCATATTATGATGGAGGGTTCAGCAGAGTGCAGGTGAATATTAAAGTAAAATTATAAGATAGACAAAATAATTCTGTTAAATTTAGCAACTTAATAGTGAGTTAAGCTCAGTAAGGGAAAATCAAAATTACAACTGAGTGGAATTTTATGCACTTTTCTATAATATTCTTCCTTCATTTTCTTTGGAAAATTCACAATAGTAAGTGGGAACGTATTTGAAAATGTCTCCGAGTCTAGATTGCTATCCATAGATGTAAATGAATGATTAAAACAATATGAAGTGGAGAAACTACGATGCATTTTTAGTGGTTAGAGGATTTAGAGATAGCTGAGTGATGTAAGCAGGTCGCTGACGAATGTGGTTATACCCAGTTTGTAGTGTGAATTAGGAAGTAATATTAATGTTATTACTAAAGAATCGCTGGCATTTCCATGTAGTCGCCAATGTACCACACCTATAACGTAAGGATTAAGGGTACTCTCTGGGTGCTGTCTGGTTCTAACCCCATGACCCAGGGATTATAAGTTCAATGCCTATGCCAGTGAACTGAAGCTCCACTATTTAGATGGAACTTGACGTTTCTTCTTCATTCAAACACTAATTGTCTTTATTGGTGTACACTGAATCATCATGGTCGCTTTTTGTTGGAAGTAATTTTGATTTTTTTTTCTGCCGGTTTTTAAATCCTATTCTGTCTGTCTGTTTTCGACATGGAACTTTGCACAGATATGCACCAGTTCAAGTCGCCACACTCCCTCCTTGTATCATACAAAGCAACAGAAGAAAGTAAAAGAAATGCATTATAGAGACAGTAGACAGGGATATGAGACAAAGGAATAGTGATAACGAAGAACAATATAGTTTCATTGGAAATTATAAGTCACAAGGAGTAGAGGCATCTTCGCTATGCATTGAGAATAATGAGTTTGAGCCATATCACCAATTGTCTCCAGCGACAACGGATTTTTACCGTCCCGAGGACCCCGACCAGCCAGTCAGGAAGTCTACATCTTCCTATGTAGTGTGACTTCCTATGTGACTGGCTTAAACTAGCTGTTGTGGATTCCATTGACTGGTAGAGCCACGTTTTGTTTCGACCGGCGCTAGCTCTTTTCCAGCCTGACCCTATGTCAGCTAAGGTTGCCCGTTGTCGAGGAATGCGATGACTAGACATGCATGCCTAACACATGTACTAACCATCTCAGTCAATGGTAGGTGGTCATCTTCGATTACATTGTAGAATGCAAAAATTAGCTTCGGTTAGTGAATCTTGAAGGGAAAAGTGTTTACATCATTAGAGAACAATCGAAATCATTTGCCAATTATTACTAGCTTGAAGCTTTGCCTCGTTGGTCCAGGTGTTCAACTCTCAACTACTAGACCATGTTTTCAAACTCCACCTCCACCATCTGCTGAGATTTTGACAGTCATATGGTTTTATGAATCCATCCTTACACAAAAGATGTATTATTATTATTGTTCCCTTGGGTTCCTAGTGGAACATAGGGCTTCAACTTCACGTCTCCACTTGCTTCTGTCTTCTCCTGTACTTTTCACATGCATCCATGTTAGTCCATACTGTTTCAACTCCTCTTCACACGATCTCGACGTCATCCTCTCGCTGACGTCCCACTCGCCGCTTGCTTCCTTTTCGGCCTGGTTCCGCCCGATGGCCTGACGCGCGCACGATGCCACCCAGCGGCCTCCTCAGCGAGCGAGTGTCTAATCTATCTCCACTTTCTCCTACACAAAAGATGTAGCTCATTATTATATATATATATATCTTGTGCTTATTAATGATTATTGATGTGTTTTGTCTGGTTGATTTTCTTTTGTTGTTGTTTTTGGTGTGTACTTTCTAGTCAAGTTTATTATTATCGGTGTACTGCTTACAAAAATCATGTTCATATCAAATTTCAATGAAGTATCACTTAACTCGAATCATCAATCCAACAGCAACAATAACAATAAACGCGATTTATGTAAATCAGAAATAATGCGTAAATCAAGTCTTTCGTCAATGGAAATTGTTAACCCGGTGAATAGATTATTGATGAGACGAATTGACGATTCACCACCACCACCACCACCTACAACAAAAACAGCAACAACAACAACTAACAATCCATATCATTTTGATCCATTTTGTGATTCATCTAATCAATCGTTATCTGATGTTTCTGGTGGAGTTAATCACCATCATCATCTGCTTTCTTCTTCTTCTTCTTCTTTTTCCTCTTCTTCTGCTGCTTCGTCGTCGTCGTTGTCGGCTTCTTCGATAACATCTACTGCTACTATAAATTCTACTACTACGAATAACGAATCTATGACAACATCGTATACAAAATCATCGAATTATCATTTAATATCGAAAGGTGGTAGTTGCAGTGCAATAACAGATGAATTATTTATCAAATCTGATCGAGCATTTTTAGATTTATGTGCAAATAATCGAATGGAAAACTCATCATCTTTAAATCCTGGTGATGCTGGTGGTAGCGGTATTAACAATAATAGTCATAATAATAATAATAATACTTCAGTTATTTCTTGTACACTGAACCTTCCTAACTCTACTACTGCTAACACTGCCTGCAGTTTAGGCAGTGATGGTAGCAATATCAGCAGGAGCAATAACGACGCCATCATTTCTAACAGCAATAACAATAGAATGAATTCCACTAATCAAATGAAAAAGACTATAACAGCGAATATGTCAGTATCTGATACCTCCAATGACAATAATAATAATAACAGTAAAAGTAATGAGGCAGTGACGACCACCAGTATAGGTCGAACCTCTGTCCATCCACGAACAACGCTAAAATGTCCATTTTGTGATAAGGTATGTGCTTGTATATATATATATATATATATATATATATATATATATATATAATCTATCAGTTAATTATTTGAAAACATTTATTTCCGGAGACGAGTTTAAAACAAGCAATAAAGGTGGTTAATAAAGCAGAATGATTTAATGAATTCATTATCAAATTTCGGTAGAACTCCTCTTCAGCTGAATACTCCACATACATGGGTATATATACACTATTGAAATTACATTGGGAGATATAAGACTGATAAGCACAAATAAACTACATTGAATTAGTCATGCAGAAAGACGACAGGTGGGAATGTCTTTCCAGGTCATGTTCAAATGGGAGAGATGGTCGTCACTCTGAATCTACCATGGTAATACTTTTTACGTATTACTCTACCTCTTCTTCTTACTATTATTGTTATTATTATTATCATTATGATTATTCTTGATTCATTTAAAACTATCCTTTATCAGTGGGATTATCTTAACTCACTTCAACACTATTATTATTATTATTACTATTGATATTACTCTGTTTGCAATTCTTGTTATATTCTCTAATGACTAATTGATTATCTAAGTGATGTAATTGAAGCGTGATGCAATTTATCTTAATTTTGATCTCTCACATACTCTCTCTTCCCTTAACTATTTGAACATGACCTGGAAAACATTCTCACCTGTCTTTCTGCATGACTAATTCAATGTAGTTTATTTGTGCTTATCAGTCTTATATCTCCTAATGTAATTTTAATAGTGTATATATACCCATGTATGTGGAGTATTCAGCTGAAGAGGAGTTCTACTGAAACTTCATAATGAATTCATTAAATTATCTTGCTTTATTAACCTTTATTGCTTGTTTTAAGTTAATTATTTGATTTTCAATTATTCAATTGTATATCTCTATGCGGACATGTGTTACGTATGCCAAGTCATCGCCTCCCTCGACGAGCAATGTTAGCGGATATAGGGTCAGGCTGGAAAAAAGCTAGCGGCGGTCAAACAAAAACTTGGCACCAGTCAATGAAATCCACAACAGTTGGTCTAAGCCACGTAGGAGGGTGTAGACTTCCAGGCTGGGGTCCTCGGGACGGTAAAAATCTATGGTTGGAAACAATTGGTGACATGGCTCAAAATCGTTCTCAGTGGCTCAGATGCATTCACTCCTTGTGACTTATGATCTCCAATGAAACTGTTTTGTTTTTCTTTATTACCCCTTTGTCTCACACCTCTGCTCACTGTTTCTATTATGCTTTTCTTGTACTTTCTTCTCTTGCTTCGCGTGCTACACGGAGTGTGGCGACTTGAACTTCCGCACATTTGTGCAAAGTTCTATGTCGAAAACAGACAGACAGACAGATATCTCTATGTGCTACCAGCGTACGTCGATAGTTCAGTGGACAAGCAAGCAAGTGGTTAGGGGTTCGTTCAATCCCCCAGTCGGCTCACCTCTTTAACTCACTTAGCTGATAGTAAGCAGGCACAAAACCCCCTACCCCGCCGCAGTAAAAAGGGGGAAAGCTAGGTAGGCATGAGGAGGTGGTGGTAACCCCATCTCCTACACACACAAAAAAAACCACTACTGCTAATGAAACTTCAAAACTCCATATTAATATATGTGTAAAACTTAGGCACTTTGGTAGTAGGTAATTCCGTATTAGTTTGTTTATTAGATGTACCTCACAAACTCAATTAGAAACAAGCTTTGTCGGTTAAAGGATTTAGTTTATCTAATGCCCTGTCTTCAATGATTGTTAGGTCAAATACATAGGTCAAACTAGTAGAACAGGGGCAGTCAGACTAGTCGAGTATAAAAACCTAGCAGCAAAATTTAGATTAGTTGACCCGAATAAGATAAAAAATCTAGAGAAAAGTTCAGCGATAGAACTCACTACATGCAATTACACACAACCATATAATAGGCTAGGTGCGTCGGTGGTATAGCGGTTAGGACGCTCGCCGACCATGCACATGGTCCGGGTTTCGATCCCCGGTCGACGAAGCACTCCTTTAACTCGCTGAGCCAGAAATAATACTTGTAAAGAGGAAAGGTTGGGCATGGGGCCAGCAACCCCATCCTGTAAAATAAACACTGCTACAGAAACTTCAAGCCACTAGCTTGAGGCCCTATGTTCCACTGGGGAACGTGAAAGAAAAAAAATATAATAGGCTGGATGGGATAGGATGGCAGTTTTAAAATCTAATGTTGTGGCTGGGTGGAGTGAGGGAGAGATTGATAACAGAAGCTTTGTTTATCGAATCAGCTGCAAATGTATGTAATAGGAATGATTCAACACCTGTCCAGTTGGATATCTGGAAAACTTTACTACCCCTACCAAGACAAATAGGAGAGAAGAAAGAAAACTATAAAACTCAAGTTTTGAAGTCGTGTGATTATAATTGATGAGATGATTATGAACAACAATAAATTGTGTTCGAAACCTTGTCATCCAGTAAATAATAATAATAATAATGTTTCACAGACTGTGTGATACATCTAATAAACAAACTAATATGGAATTCAAAACTTCAGCTTGTAGCCCCCTATGTGTTCCACATGGGAACGCAAAGGAATATATTTTTTTAAGAAAAAAATGTTACCAGCGTATACACATACAAATTTAAAATGTGTAACTTATCGGCTTGATGACAACATTTGTCGATTCGACTTGTTTGTTCATACTCGTTATTGTTTTTTCGTTTTGTTTTGTTAGTTTTCAATACTGAGATGTCTACCTTCTCTGTAGTTATTATTATTTCGTTTTCTTTCTTTCGTTAGTTTTAAAACTCGATGTCTTATTTCATGCGCATATAAATTTTTTTATAGTTGGATTTTCTATAGTTTGGTTTGTAAGGGTTAGTTTTGTTTTTTTACGAGTTGATCACAAATTGATATCACAGTTAGAGAACCATTGAAAACCAGGGAGTACTGGGCAGCTATTTTGCCAGTCTAGTTTGGGAATCATCGGAAGTACACACTCACTGGGATTCGAACCCCAGGACCTTCCGGTTACAAGGATTTGTTTAAGTCATTATCATTTTTACTACAAGCATGTTTCTTCTTCGTTTTCGTCTTCTCGGTAAACCAATTAACAAAATAATCAATCTCTATTATTATGATATTAGCTGCATAAAAAGTCTTTTTAACCACAGCAGCGTTCAGTCTTTGTCTAGTTATCAAGCTGCTTTGATGCGCCCCCCCCCCCCAGTATAGGTTAGTAGAATTATTGTATCCAGTCATAAAACGTGCGTCGGTGGCACAGCGATTAGGATGCTCACCGACCATGCACGTGGTCAGGGGTTCGATCCCCTGCCGGCGCACTCCTTTACCTTACTGAGCCAGAAATAATGCTGGTAAAGAGGAAAGGTTGGTCATGAGGCAGGCTAGCAACCCCATCCTGTAAAAATTAAACACTGCTACAGAAACTTCAAGCCACTAGCTTGGAGCCCTATGTTCCACTGGGAACGTGAAGGAAAAATTATTTTTATTATTTTACTCTTTTGATGTAAACTCGTTCTTCATTAATGTGCTTTTACTTAAAACAATTGATATTTTGTGTGATTACATTCCCAAATATAACTTTTTCATCCTGTCCCATATATCTTATTTAAGGGATTTATTACTTCTATGTACTAACAATGTTAGGTTTACATTTGAAGGCGATTGTTTCCGCCAGGTTGATGGCATTACTATGAAAAGTTCGTTAGGGCCCCTTTTAGCAGATATTTATATGTCGTACATTGAGAATTTATCGGAGGATTCAATCAAAAATGTGCCACTTTATAGAAGGTATGTAGATGATATTGTAATCATTAGTGATAAGTCTTGTTCTGCCACCTCAATCTTAAATCGAATGAATGAAGTTCAGAATAGCATATCACTTACATCTGTAGAAGAGGAAGATAGTTGTTTATCTTTCCTAGACATATTGCTTAGTCGACGGCTTGATGGGTCAATAAAAAGATCTATTTATAGAAAACGTACCTGCACAGGGCAGTATCTTAATTTCCACAGTTTCTACCCTGTTCGGTACAAAAGAGCCTTAGTGAGCTAGGTGCCTCTTCAGTAGAATCCGACGAATATGCACTGAAGGCACACTTGATGAAGAAGAAAGAATATTGACACAAACTCTGGTTGATAACAATTATCCAGACAAGTTCATCAGGAGATATAAAGTAGTCAGAACACCAAGACCCACTCTCCAACTCGCCCCTAAAAAAGACGTGTACATCAAGCTACCCTATATGGGACATCAAAGCAGCTTGATAACTAGACAAAGGCTGAACGCTGCTGTTAAAAAGACTTTTTATGCAGCTAATATCAAAATAATCAATCGTTCATATTATGTGAACCCTAAGTATTTGTTATTATTCTGAATATTCTATTTGTGTATACTTTAGTGAATTAGGATGGCTAACTAATATGTCGTTGTTTAATTGTTATACATTTTTCTTCTCTATAGTTGGTTTGTAAGGGTTAGTTTTGTTTTTTTAACGAGTTGATCACGAATTGATATCAGTTAGAGAACCATTGAAAACCAGGGAGTACTGGACAGCTATTTCGCCAGCCCAATTTGGGAATCATAGGAAGTACGCACCCACCACGGGGGGTTCGAACCCAGGAGCTTCCAACTACTAGTCCAGTTAGCTCGTATACCATTCAGCCACTGAAACCCGATTCAATGGCCAGCCAGCCAGCCCATGAATTCTAACTTCTACCAATTCGTGATTTAGCGCGACCCCAACTAATGTCATCAGTGGGACATTCATCCTCACACATGACATCTGGATGGACCTCACTGGTGATGAATTCTCACTGGAACTCCAAGAAACTCCATCCTGTAGCAAGTTACTCACTAGCGAGCATCAGATTAATTCTCTATAATGTGTACTGCCGATGATTCGCAAACAAGGATGAAACAGCAGCTGTCCAGTACTCCCTGGTTTTCAATGGTTCTCTAACTGATATCAATCCGTGATCAACTCGTAAAATACTTTTTTTTCTCTCGCAG